ATTGGTTTTTCATAGATAGCCTTTATCAAGTTGAGATAAAGACTATGTATTCCAAGTTTCTACAAGGTTTTATCATGAATGGGTGTTGAATTTTGTCAAATGCTTTTTCTGCGTCTATTGAGATGATCATATGGCTTTTGTCTTTGACTCTGTTAACATAGTGTATTACATTTATGGATTTATGTATGTTGAACCATCCTTGCATACCTGGGATAAATCTAACTTGGTCAGGGTGTATGATCTTCTTGATGCCCCTCTGTATTCTGTTTGCCAGTATCTTATTGAGGATTTTTGCATTTATGTTGGTTAGGGAGATTGGCCTGTAGTTCTCTCTTTTGGTTGGGTCTTTCCCTGGTTTGGAAATCAAAGTAACACTTGCTTACAGGAATGAATTTGGAAGTATTGCTTCCTTTTCAATTTCAATGAAAAATTTGAATAGTGACAGTAGTTCTTCTCTAAATGTCCTGTAGAATTCAGCAGTGAATCCATCAGGACCTGGGCTTTTCTTTGTTAGTCAATTTTTAAATACATTTTGAATTTCACTGATTTTAATTGGGGTGTTTAGTATTTTTATACCTTCTTGCGTTCAACTTTTGTATTTCATAAGTATGAAGAAATCTGTCCATTTCTTCTGTGTTTTCCATTTTCTTAGAGTACAGATTCTTGAAGTAGGTATGGATGATCCTATGTATTTCTGCTGGATCTGTTGTGACCTCACCATTTTCATTCCTAATTGCATGGAATTGAGCCTTTTCTTTTTCTTTTTTTTGATAAGTTTGGCTAATGATTTATCAATTTTATTTATTCTTTCAAGAATAAACTCTTCAATTCGTTATTTTTTGTATGTACTCTTAGTCTCCATTTCATTGATTTTTATTCTGATTTTTAAAAATTTCTCCCTTATATGACCTTTGGGTTTCTCTTGCTCTTCTTTTTCTAGGAACTTAAGGTTAAGCATTAGGTTTTTTATTTGTGCTTGCTCTGTTTTTCTAGTGTGGGCATTCTTTGCTATGAATTTTCAACTTAGAACCACTTTCACTGAATTCCTGTATGTGGTACTGATATTATCATTAAATTGTAAAAGCTGTCTAATTTCTTCTTTAATTTCCTCTGTGACCCATTGGTTGTTCAGGAGAGTGTTATTCACTTTTCACGTGTTTGTGAAGTTCTTGGGGTTTCTTATGCTATTGATGTCCAGTTTAATTACACTATGGTCGTATAATAAACAGAATAGCTTCAATTCCTTTGCATTTACTTAAACATGTTCTTTGAAGTAGTATATGGTCTATTTTGAAGAATGATCCATGTGCAGCCAAAAAGAATACATTTTTAAACTAATAGTTCTATAATGATACATAGCCCATAGATTTACCACGGTTCCTAAAACTGTGTATTACTGAAAAATTTATTGGATGTGGTTTTAGTTTAACATGGTGAAGAATGCTGCAGTAAAGATTACCTTCTTAAAAATAAAATAAAAATAAAAGAAACAAAACCTTCCCTCCCAAAAAACAAAAATATCAGTTTTGTATTTTTATATGTTGATTTTTATTTCTATTATTGAGATTCTTGAGGGCCCAACTGTTCAGTCAAATGTAATATTTTTTAGATTAGATTTTGTTGGGTTGTTCTCTAAAATGCTGTGATAATTTACATTTCCATAGAAAATATGTGAGAGCCCACTTCCTACCTATCATTCTTGTTGATGTTGTATTATTTTGATTTTTGCAGTCTAATCAGCATCAAGTGATTATTTCTATTGTTATATTAATTTTATTTTTTGAAACTGGGGATCGAATTTGGGACCTTATGCTTGTGAGGCAGGCGGCGGAACCACTGAGCTAAAACCCTGGCCCCATTATATTTATTTTTGTGTGTGAGTTGACATGTCTTTTTATATTTATTGGCCTCATGGATTTTCTTTTTATAAAATGTCAATTTATATTATTTGCCCAGTTTCCTTATGACTTGTTATTTCCTTATCATGACCCTCTATCTGCCCACTGGGTTGACAATTTACTCTCAGAATTTTTGACACTGCTTATGTATTTTTGCCATATTAAGAAATTACTGTTTTTCTTATAGTGCTGGTGGTGATTGAACCTAGTGCTTTCCACATGATACACAAGCATTCTACCACTGTGCTTTTTAAAACAAGTAAATAATGTCCATTTATTTCTTTTTTAACTTCTAGTTTTCTAGTGTTAAGTCCCCCCTCATCTAAGTAGTATGTGTAATCTTTGAGAGTTTTTATATTTTTAAAAAAGTTTTTAAATCTGGAAATTATTTTTATATTAAATGATATAATGTATAAATCATCCAGATAATTAGCCAGAGTTTCCATTTTAATTATTCCTTATTTATTTATTTTTTATTTATTTATAGACAGGTGTAATTATGTAGGCTAGTCTGGCCTCAAACTCAGGATCCTCCTGCCTTGCCTCCTGTGTGATGGTATTATTATTTTTTTTTCCTTGTCTTGTTTTGTCTTTCTTTCCTTTTTTTTTTCTTCCTTTTTTGTTTTGATACAGGGTTTTACTTTTCTTGTCTAGGCTGTCCTTGAACTGAATGTGTGTAGTCCAGGCTGGCCTCCAATAGCTGGTCCTACTGCTCAGCCTTCCAAGTGCTAAGATTATGGGCGTACACTACCATTCCTGGCTGTGTCTTGGTATATATATATACACATACACACACACACACACACACACACATTCCATCCTGTTTTAAAATAAATGGTTGTTTGATAATACATGTGTAGAATTTATGAATACATACCTATACATTATCAGAGCTACATATCAAAGAAAATACTTTTGGGCTGGGGATTTAGCTCAGTGGTATCGCCACCTGCCTCACAAGTGCAATGTCCTGAGTTCCATCTCGACAAGGGAATTACTAAAAAATAGGTAAAAAATATAGTTTTAAGATGAAATGCGCTGGTTGATCAAAAAATTTCAGAAACTACTGCTACTTGAACTCCTTAGGATGTGAGCTTTTTGAAGGTAAGGATTATATCTTTCCTTATCTTTGAATCCATAGCTTAGCTGTTTCCTGCACAAGGTATATTTTCAAAAAATGTTTGTTAATTAAACAAGTGAAGCTCCCAGTATCCGGCACAGTATCCTGTGACTTAAGCAACACACCTACTGAGAAACTTGACATTCCATTTGTGTCCTGTGGTAAAATAGCCAAAGCTAAGAAATAGCAGTGACTCATAATGATAGGTGCTACAACTTCATTACTGTCAAGTCCAGACACTTTTGTATGAGGATATGAATTCTCAAAACCTTAAAGACTTCCCTGAGGCTTGTAATCTATAGATGCCTAGGAAATGTAATTGTGTGTGTATACATCTTTTGCTTATTCTTTTTTTAAGACAAGTTCTCTCTCAGTAACACAAGAATGTAAGTTTTTTTTGTTTGTTTTTTTTTGCTGAGATTAATTTCCTTGTGAGGCTGAGGCAGGAGGATCTTCATGAGTTCAAGGCCAGTTGGGCTACATAGTGAATTCAAGAGTAGCCTGAACTTCATAGCACACCGTTTAAAAAAAAAAAAAAAAAAAAAAAGGAATTAATTTTAGCAAAACAGCCGTCTCCTGTGTTATTGAGTTCTTTTGGTATAATATTGAACCATTTTATCATTTACTTAACCAAATGACATATATAATCTAGTTGTGCCCTTTGGACTAACTATATTTACTGTTTTTTTTCCCAGCTTTCTGCCTTAACAATTCCTTTTCTTTCTTTTTCTCCATTGCAGAAATTCATTGGTCTGTATCATTTTTTTTTCCTTACCGGGGATTGAACTCTGGTCCTCACGCTTGCTTGCAAAGCAGGCACTGGAACTACTGAGCTAAATAAATCCCGCTCCCCCTCCCCCCTTTTCCCATCTTTTAAAATTTAAACCCAGAATTTGCCTGCCCTCACTCCCTTTTGTAGCTTTGGGAAACGGAAACCATGCCAAACTTTTTTTTTTTTTTTTTTAACCATAGGTCAAATGGTGTGAAAGAGAACTTCACTTTACTACTGTTGAGTTTATTACAAGAGAATAACCAAGAACAAGGGGACGCAAGTAAACTCAAGTACAAGTAACCGTTTGTTTTTAAAAACTCACTTACAATGAAAATATGAGAGATATTAATATGGCCCAGGATTTTTATTATCAGTCACACTTTCTCCATTCAAGACCTTTTAAATTTTGTCTAACTTTAATATATGAGCTATATAGCAGAATCAAACTGTGAAAGAGCCAATCAAAAATCTGTTTAGGGCCGGCGGATGTAGCTCACGGGCACTGCGCCTGCCTGGCAAGCGCAAAATCCTGAGTTAGATCAGTGGTTAGATCTGTTCTGTGAGGTTGAGCGCAGTTGATGCAGTTTTCCCAAAGATTTGCTTGCGGGATTTGGATTCCACATCAGAAAAATATTTTTAAAAATAGAATTCATTCAAAACCTTCAGTGTCTGCCACCGCTAAAATAAACACATGACTCATAAATAGGAGGCAATATTAAAAATACTTCATGACAAATTTGAGGAAATTCTCTGATCAGAAGTTCCTTTTAAGTAAAACACTCGTTCCAAAAAGAAATTACTTCAAACAAAACAGTTCACCAACAATAAATGAAGGAAATAGAAAAAACAGTTTTTGAGATTTTTGAATAAGGACCCAAGAAGGCAGAGCAAATATTATGAAAGTGATTTATAATAAAGAGTTGCTGAAGTAGTGTTGCATTTGAACTCCTGAACCCAGAAGAGGAGAGTCCTCCCTCCAGGGAATGCTGGGAATTGTAGTCGAGAAGCCCGATAGTTTCTCCGCCAGAATCAAAAGTGACGGAGAATCATTAGGTTCAATCCAATGTTCTGGGTCCTCATTGGGCCCGACCATGGAACGCTTAACGCATTTCCCTAGTTCACCAATGAATGATTTGCTTTAAGAAAGCCTTCATTGATTGGATACTCTTCCTCGTGTTGGACTCATCATCAGCCAATGGAGGAATAGAACTGACAGAGGTGAAAGGATCCCTATGATAGAGTCTGCGGAGCCTTCCCCGCCAGCGCCTTCTCTTTCTGGCTTCTTCGGTGGGTCTGGTTGTTTGTGATTACTCAGGCCCCAGCTGAGAACCGAGGGACTTTCTTCGCGCTGTCTGGATCTCCTTACCTTATCTGTAGATGTGTCCCTGATGGTACGGCAGGCTCTGGACTCCTAAACCTCTGGAACGGTAGGTAGGGTATAGGGGTGGCAAAGTGATAAAGCCGGGAAGGCCTCGGTAAGCAGTCCCTGCACCTAAGCTGCAGTCCTGCCTTCCTTTCAGGAGTCTGCAGCGAGTTTTACCGAGGCACTTTAAAACGTCACTCTCCCATGTGTTCTGTGAAATGCTGTCTTCCTCTCCGTTACCCCAACCTCCAACTTCTACCGGCCTTAGCATTATTAATAATGGATGTAATCTTGCCTCTTTTCTTCCTCTCTCCAGGTTGTTCTTTGGTGACTTTCTGTTAGTTTTATGCACCTGCTCGTCTCTTAAGGAGACAGAAGGATGTGGTGGTTTGACTTAATTCACGAGAGACTGGTGTTCACATCTCTCTAATTCAAAATCATTATTGGGGAGCATCTGTGCTGCTCTCAACTTTCGTGATACTATCCCCCAACAACTCAGTGAGAACAGAAGTCACGATAGATTAAATTATTGCTGTTGTTTAGTAATTGTCGGCGTTCTATTTTATCATCTCACATTCTGATTTTCTTAATCCTAAAATTTGCTTGATTGTTAGTCAAGAACCTGAGGCTCGCAGGAGTTAACTCAACTTCTCAAAGTACAGTTAGTTGCTAGTAAGGAGAAAGCCAGGCCCAATTTCAGTGCTTTTTTTAAAACAACTATAAATCAATCAGGATATAGATCAATAAGGATTTAGATTATGTGTCGATTCTCCACAGCTTTTAGCATGTGAGTGCTAAATAGTTCTGAGTCGGTTGATGGCTCTTGTTTGAAAGAAATCTTTCAGTCACTACCTTCCCAACTACAGGTGTCTTACATGTATCTTAAATCTTTGCTTCTAGAAGTGTGACTCTTTGACAAGTACCACTTGTAATCTTGTTGAAAATGTAGAATCTCAGGCTCTGCTCCACGTACTGAATCAGTCTTTATTTTTAAACAAGTTCCTTAAGGTGATCAGGGTGCCTATTAAAGTTTAGGGATCATTCATTGTCTTAATGATTTGCTTGTCCAAACTGAACTAAAGAAAAAATAAAGGCTTACAGTATATGACTACTTGTGTTCTAAAAAGCATGGAATGTAGAGAAACAAGGGAAATGTTTTTTCACAATTTCATCATTTTCTAGTAAGGCTCTGATTTTTTTTTTTTTAAATTTAGTTCTGTCTGTAGTGGCAATTTTAGCATAGTAGCCAAAAATAGTCACACTGAGCTGCATCCGGAGCCTCTCTCTCCTCACCTCTTTTTAAAATTTAAGAATGGGGTTTTTCTTCCTGAGTTGTTGAGTTGCTCAAGCTAGTTGAGAATTTTCGGTCCTCTCACCTCAACCTCTGAGATATACATTTCAGGTACTGATTTTAAAAATAAGAATCAGATTAAGACAAATGATAAATACCAATTGTAACAGTTAAATATAATTTCAAGAATCTTATATTTACCCACATAATCTGTGTAAAGTCTAGTTTCCTGTTGTAATATCTTTCCATAATTTTGTTCCATTTAGTTTCTTTGGAAGGAAAGGGTAGATTTTCTGCTCCTTTTTTTTTTGGTCCGGTTTATTAATTATGTTGTCTGGCAGTAAAATTGAAACCTAGCTCCAAATAGCATAATTTTATGTTGCTTAGTGAGTAAAGAAATTTTCTTGTAGAGTTTTGATGTCTTATTTTCACCAGAAATCATCTGGTGTACTTACTAAAAGAAGTCTTGGGCCCTGTCTCCACAGATTGCTACTTAGGTCTGGGCTAATGTCTAGGAATTTGCATTTTAATAATAATCACATTTTTTTCGGATGTAGGCTGTCCAGGTCCATATTTTTTTTTTTTGCATTTTTTTTTATCGGTACATTTTGGATGTACATAATGATAACATTCATCATAGGGAATTTGTACCTATACATGATGTTTTATTTGTTGTTGTTTTTGTGCTGGGGATTGAGCTCAGGACCTTGAATTTAGGAGACCTGACAGAACCACTGAACTAAATCTCTGGCTGCATGATGTATCTTGCTCCCCCCCCCAACATCTCCTCTCCTCCTTATTTACAAAAGCCCCATTTCCATTTTTTCCTTCTATTCTTTTTTTTTTCCCTTGACATTAGTGTTTTCAATAAAAACACAACTACAAAATATATTTATTTGCCCTTGAGCATAATGTAGAAGGGAGGAGAATGTTTTTTAAAAAATAAATTATGATTCATTGGCTCTATAAAGTAGCTCATAATCAGCATTTCAGATTTATTAAAAATATTTTGAGGCCTACCAGATTGGGATTAGAGGGGGTAAAATGGGATGAATCCTGAAATAATCATTTAAAGCCATTCTCCAGCTTCTGAAGGCACATATTTCTATTAAACAACTTTGAGTATTTGAAACTAATAGAATTAACACAAAACATATGTAATACAGAAATTGGGATTAAAGTGCTAATTTTAGCTTATCTGATTCCATTTCAACTCCTCCATAACTTGTTCTTAGAAAATTAGCATGTAAACTTTGCAGTCCAAAGAGATATTGATCATTTAACAGGATTCAGATGATGCACTTATTATAAAGGATGTCAGAGTAATTTGATATTATCAAAAATGTTAAAATTAGAAAAGAAAAATGAACGCTTAACAGTGAGTTCTCAGGCAGGCGGGGTGGCTCATGCCTGTAATCTCAGCACTTGTGAGATTGAGGCAGAAGGACCACTGAGTTTGAGGCCAGCCTGGGCTACCTAGTGAGTTCATGGCCAGCCTGAACTACAAAGAGATTCAGTCTCAAAAAAAAATTTTTTTATTTAAATTTATTTTTGGATTTTTGAGACAGGGTTTCACTATGTGGTTGAGACTGACCTGGAACTCATTCTGTAGTCCAGGCTGGTCTCAAACTCACAGTGATGTTCCTGCTTCAGCCTCCCAAGTGCTGGGATTACAGGTGTGCACCACCACACCCGGCAAAAAAAAAGAGATAAATTAACAGTGAGTTCTCTTTGAAGGTATGTACAAAAGCTCCCTCATTTGAGGAGCAAATCATGGATAATTTCTGCAGGCCTTTCTTGCCTTCCTTTAATCCTCTTAGGAAATGTGGCATTTGACCACAGCTCTCCCTATTACGTTAGGTTCGTTGATGACTCTTGGTATTCCCAGCCTTTTCTTTGGCAGATTCTGGTTTGAGCCATTATTAAGAAAGTTAATAGAAAATGCTAAGAAGTTATCCTCATACTACTTATTGAATAGTCTTAACTTTTTTCATTGATTTATTCTTTTAGGGTACCATATAATTTAAAACTACCATTTATCAAGCATTTACTTTGTGCTAGCCACTAATATAAACTCTTTGTGTTGTCATTTCATCTGGACAATAAGCTACTTATTACTATTTTACAGATGAAGAAACTAATACAAAGAGTTTAAGGTATTTGCTTAAAGTTAACAGTTTTCAAGTGATAGAGCCTAAGTCAGAGTCTGATTTAGTTAGTAGCTTTCTTATGAGTAACTTTCTTGGGAGAACTGTCTTATCTCTCCCTTTCTCCCATTAGTACTACTGCTTTATTCCCATAACTTTGAATATTTCAGTACATGGTAAGGCCATTTCTGCTTTACTCTTTTTTTCCTTGACAAGAATTTTAACCAAAGATCTTTCTGGACTTAAGAGAATAATTTTTTCTGCTATAGCCCTGACAGTTGGCATTATTACTGAAGTTAGCTTTGAACACATTCGTGAAAAGTATTTACACCTTTATATTTTTCTCAGTGAGGAATATACTATGTGATTTGGATAAAGTTGATTTAACTTTCTGCATTGATGAACATTATTCTTTGATGTTTTGTTTCCTTGGCTTTTTATGTCTAACATGTTATCTAAAATATTTGGTTTACTTTTATGGAAGAAAGGCTGAATTTAAAAGGACTGTATTGAAAGTAAAAAGACTGTTGGAAATTTCCTATTAGGAAATAGTAAATAAGATTTCAGCCCAGTTCTACCAACTAGCTTGGTGACTTGTTAACTTCTCTGTGACTATTTCCTGATGAATGACTTCAAATTTTACTTCCTCTTTCCTGTTGCTAATAGGTACAAGAAGATGAGACAGAAATGGATAGATATGTTTAGATTCAGTTCAGATTCACTGTGATGTCCTAAATTGCTGTGCCCAGGCATGGGCTACATGGTTTCTAGCCTTGTTTATAGCCTTCTTTCATGCCTTTTTCTTAGGGAATTTTATCTTTTGTAGACCCAGTATGCTGGGTTTTTTTGTTCCTAGATACATAAGGACTAAAAGAGAAGAAGAAAGAAGAAAAAAGGAGGAGGAAGAAGAAGAAGGAAGAAGAAGAAAGTGAGCTAGCAGGTAGTCAGTTTTCCCTGAGGCACTTGTTTAGGACCAGAAATGTTCCAGGGGGAGAAAAAGCTCTGGCAGTGTTACAGTTTGAAAAGTGTAGCAAAGGTTACAAGCTTGAACTGTAAAGATCTTGTTTATTGTGACTTTAGTGTTAAAATATGTATTGCTAAAATAATTTATTGGAATATTGAGGATGACATATGTTCTTTAAACATTGTGCTCACAAAAATAACTTGGTTTCTTCAGTCAACTTCTTATGTTCATTTCATTTTTCTCAAACTATGGAACTGCCAATTCTCTTTTTTTTTTGTGAGTTAGAGTCATGTGTTTCTTGCTAAAGATGTTGTAATCTTGGTTATTTAACAAATACACTAATTTACCTTAGTGGCTTGGAATTAATTTTGCAAACCTTTTCTACAGAATTTAAGAAGATTTTATTCATGTGTATGACGTAGAAGATGAATTCTTCCTCCTCCACCATGAATGAAGAGCCTGATGCTCTGTCAGTAGTTAACCAACTGCGGGATCTAGCAGCAGATCCGTTAAATAGAAGAGCCATTGTCCAGGATCAAGGATGTCTGCCTGGCCTTATTTTATTTATGGACCATCCCAACCCTTCTGTTGTCCACTCAGCTTTGCTTGTAAGTTGCTTTTAGTGTTTTCAGCTTTGGTGTTTTAATTTTGCAATCAACGAAAATTTGAAGATTTACTGGATGACATTAAGAGACCAGACCAAATAATAGTCTGCATTTCTATATATACAAACATATAGAAACTATAATACATGAATAGTCTATATATACAAAAGGTAGCAAGCCACATTGTTTTAATTTTGTAACATAAATGGTAGCATACTACATACATTAGATCTTCTATTTTCTATTTTTATAATCTATTTTATTTGTTTGTTTTTTGTGATATTAGGGTGTCTTTGTGACAGGTTTTTTTCACTTAGCATAATGTCTTAAAGTTTATCCAAATAGCAGCTTGTTTGAGTTGTTCATTTCTTTTTGAGGCTGAATAATACTCTATTGTATGGGCATGACATATTTTGTTTATCCATTCATTAGTTGATGGATATGGGACTTGTTATTTTAATATGAGCAAGTTGGGAGAATATAGAGGATCATAGCTAATGATGAGAAAGGACATGCCTGTAGTTCCAGCACTCAGGAGGCTGAGGCAGGAGGATTGCCACGAGTTAGAGGTCAGCATGGACTACATAGTGAGTTTAAGACCAGCCTGAGCTGTATAGTGAGACCCTGTCTAAAAAAAAAAAAAAAAAAAAAAAAAAAAGTAAAAGGGATTATGTTATGAGAAATGTGGGGGCTACAGAAACCTGTTAAAGAGCAACATAAGGCAACAGATGATACATAATGTGGTAATTTCTTGAGGACGAATAGTCTGATTCCTTGAATAGTAGCTAGCATTAAAAGAAAGGCAGCTGGGGTGGAGGAAGGGATGATAGTAACTATTATAGATTTTTCAGAGACACATAAGGGCCATATCGTTTAAGTGTGATATGAGGTCCTGTTTTGGATCCTCATTTATACAAGTCAATTGTAAATAAATTTTAAATAGTTGGAAATGAAAGTGGATAATAGATATTAAAGAATCATTAAAACATTTGCAGGTTATTATAATAATACATTAAATTAATTTTAAAATAACTAATTTTCTAGGGATGTACTGAAATATTTACAAATGATATAATATATTCTCTTATTAGATTTTTTATAAAACAGTCTGTTATGGTTATGGCCAGTGGGGATAGATGAAGCAAAATTGCCAAGTAGTTTGTAATTGTTGAAAGCTGTGTGATGGGTGCATGAGGTTTGCCATGTGTGTATTTTACTCTTGTGTGCTTTAAAATTTTCATAACGAAAGTTTAAAATAAAATTAGTTTTACTCACTGTCCTTTACTGAAGGACTCACTATAAAGTCTTCATTTAGTCTTAATTTCACAAGTTTTTACAAACTTGGGTTTTCTATTTTGCCTTCACAGAGCGAAGTTTAATTGACAAAACTGACATTAATATAAAAGTGAACAGTAGTAACAAGGAGGAAATATTGCCTGGCTTCTAGTTTGGATACTGCTTCAGTAAGAAACTAAGGGAAGGAGAAGAGAGGGAGGCACTTGGAGCTGAAGAAAGTCTTTTTGTTGTAGGCTAGAACATACCTAAATTCAGAAGGAAAGGTGGCCAGAGTAGACAAATTAGAAGGATTTTGTAATTCCTGGAAATGGGAAAGGTTACTGTGAAGGATGGTCAGATTGGTTAGTGCTGTTGAGGTACTAATTAGTTTAGTAGCACTGAATTGCTGTATGAGTTGATTGTGAAGCTCCTTTTTCTTTTTTGGGCTTAATACAGGCCCTGAGAACCAAATAGTTGAATTTGTTCAGGGTTGATACTTGGCCAGGTAAGTTGAACAGAATGATAAACAAGGATGTTTACGTTTTATGTAACAGAGTGGTTGAAGTGAGGGACTCTATGTGCTAGCCTGAATGTAAGAGGAAGTAAAATTACTGAAAAACGGAGCTAAGTAGAAGGATCTATGGGAAAAAGTCACCATGAGGTTAAAGAATAGATGTGGTGTTTTCATAATACCCTTTTATTGTCAGAATGAATTATTATATGTCCTTTTGTTTTTTAAATTTACTTAATGGGTACTCTGTGTTTTACAGTCTACATATTCCTTTTTTGAGACAAGGCCTTGCTACGTAGTCCAGGCTGGCCTCGTATGTGTGGCAGTCCTCCTGCCTTAGTCTCACAAGAACTGAGATTACAGGCATGTGCCACTAAGCCCAACTACACTATGCATTTTTAGCATATGTGCTGCTGCAGCAAGCACTACATTATGTATTTTTAATGTCCCAATCTACCCTTAAATGCATCATATGTTTCTTGTATTGTGTAAAAATCATAAAAGTATATTTCTATTCCTTTTTCACATCTTTTGTTGTATTTTTGTCATGCATTTTACTTCTACATATGTTTAAGTATCTACATACACAGCACATTTTTTGCTTTAAACAATTATCTTTTTTTCCATAGAACTCTTGTATGTGTGTACAACTGCTCCAAATTAAAAATGGTGCAATAAAATATATATATTTTTTAATACTATAAAGAGACATGAAGCTGCAGCACCAGTGGCCAATTGATGGTGCAAGTAGGGAAAATAACGCAGGCTGCATGAGAAACATGCACTAGGGGGAGGAGGAAAGGGAGGGCCAGGAGTCACTTTTCAGGCAGATTGTGATACAGAACTGTCATACACATCAAAGATCAAATAGCTGAATGTGTCTGATGTTGTTTCTCTATCTTCTATTCTGTTTCATTGATCCGCATATCTATTTTTGTACTAGTGCCAAGCTCTTTTTATCATTGTAGCTTTGTAATATAACTTAAAATCTGGGATTGTGATGCCTCCTCCTTTGCTCTTGTTTCCCAGGATTACTCTTGCTATTCTGAGTTTCTTCTGGTTCCATATGAATTTTAGGATTATTTTCTGTTAGGAATGCTGTTGGTATTATGATTGTGATTACATTAAATCTGTGTATCAGTTTGGAAGTATGGCTACTTTGACTGTATTGGTTCTGTTGCTTCGGGAATAGGAAATATCTTTCTATTTTCTGATATCTTCTGTCTCCTTTTTCAGAATACTGTGGTCTTTCATCATAGAAGTCTTTTACTTCCTTAATTCCTGAGTATTTAATTTTTCTTGATGCTACTGTGAGTGATATTTTTTCCCAATTTCTTTCTCAGTGAATTCATTATTGGTGTACAGAAATGCTATTGATTTCTGTGTGTTGATTTTATATCTATCTTCATTGCTGAATTTGGTTATTCTAGGAGTCTTTTGGTGGGCTTTTTTGTTTGTAGAGGATCAGTCTATAAATAATGATAATTTTATTTCTTCCTTTGCTATACATATCTCTTATTTCTTTCTTTTTCCTGATTGATCTGGCTTATGTTTTGAGAACTATATGGACAAGAGAGATGATAGTGGACATTTTTGTCTTATTTCTGATTTTAGAGGGAAAGCCTTCAGTTTTTCCTCATTTAATATGATGTTGGTTGTAGGTTTGTCATAAATGGCTTTTGTCCGATTGAGATAAGGTCCTTCTATACCCATTTTCTTCAGTGTTTTTATCATGAATAGATGTTGGATTCTTTCAAAGGCTTTTTCTGCATCTACTGAATTGGTAATGTGATTTTTGTCCTTGCTTCTGTTTATGTAATATATTTATTGGTTTGCATAGGTTGAGCCATCTTTGCATCCTTGGAATGAAGCCTACTTGGTGATGATGTGTGATATTTTTGTTAATTTGTTGTATTTTGTTTGGTGCCTAATAATTTCTAATCAGATGCCAATTAAAAAATTTTTTGTTTTTAACTTTAGGGATTTTTTTTATATTTCTCTAAATATTCTTGAATTTTGTTCTGAATTGTCATTAAATTATTTGAACTAGTTTTGATTCTTTCTAGACTTGTCTTGTGCTTCACTAGAGTGGAGGCAAAGCAGCGTGTATTCTGTTATACCTTTACTGCTAAGGTGAATCTCTTGAGGGTTCTCCCTGATGCCCTTTGAATGGTAAGGTCTTTATACTTTTGGCTGGTGGCATCCCAAACTGTATCCAGCTTGTTGTGAGTTTCAAAATTTGTTTTCCCCACTTTCTGATGTTTTTATTCCCTAGCTAGGTAGCTTTTTATCCCAAGCATGCACAGATCATCATTCATTCAGATTCTTGTATACCCCTCTGTAGATCTCTGGAAGTCTTCTGGCTATGCAGATCCTTCCTCTCTTGTTACCCTGTTCTACAAATTCTAGTCATCCCAACTACTTCAGGTTTTATCTCTGCCTCCTAAACTCAACAGGAAGATTAGGCTTCATTTGGGTTTCTCTTCCCTGTGCTACAATCTTGAAACTTCTTCAGTAGCAGGAAAGTGTGGCTAATTATAGGACCTACCTCAAGATTTCTCCTGTCACAGCTTATATTGATTCTTGACCAGTATCTGAAAATGTACATTTGATTTATTTCTGTTAGTTTTTTATAGAAGGAGTGTAGTTGGCATAGGAATTAAGCATTTTTGGGCTGAAGTGGAAATTATAGTAGGAGTAATTTGCAGAAATAAGAAGAGGTTGTTGGGTTTGTGACTTCATAAATGGTACATATTTGTAAATGGGACTTTGGAAATGGGAGGCAAAAGAGCAGCAGAAATGTGAAAGGTCAGTGGACTGAGATGCAGTTTTGGATGGTGTAGCCTACAAGATAGTCCCTTAAGAATCAGGTATAATGATGGATGAGAAAGTCTGCAGGTGACACCATTATTTAGGTATAAAGGGAAATAGCTAAATGAGATTTCTAGAGGAGCAGCTCATGAAAGAATTGCAAAACATTTTAAGTCCATAAGAAACACCCTTGCAAAGTTAGTTTAGCTCACAAATAGAAAATTTGCAGGCATTAATTTATCTTTGGTTTTTCATTTTCAAAAAACATTTTTAAAAGATGTAGTAAAATGGAGTCAATTCTACATTTTACAAAGGTATTGTATGTTTTTTCCCTTTGGCAGTTCAATGTGTAAAAAGCACCTAGGAATATGGTACCTATTGCTGTTGTGACTATGTGAACTTAATAAATGGAATATAGTTTCTTGCTTGTGTCCTTGTCAAGATGAAGGGGTAAAAATAGAACCAGAACAACCTATTTCTGACCTTGTAGATAAAGTAGAACCTTCCTTTCAAACAGCAAATTCCAACTGCTACTTGCGACGGTCATTTCTCTACTAGGAGATTGTTTTGATTATTAACATTTAAAGAAGAGTTTGAAACACTTTAAAACTAATGAATTTAAAAATAAAAACTGTATTTTCTCTCTTTGTCCTCTTGCAGTAAGTTGGTGGTTTTAATTTTGAGTAATGTGGACTTGTGAAGTAACCTATTATTGTTTCCTGCTGTAGGCTCTTCGCTACTTGGCAGAATGTCGTGCTAACAGAGAAAAGATGAAAGGCGAATTGGGTATGATGTTAAGCTTGCAAAATGTTATACAAAAGTAAGTGTAATAAATAGTGACCTATCCCTATTGTGGTAGAAAATGGATTTTATTAAATAGAAACTATTAGCATAAATTTATTGATTTTTTTTTTTTTTTTTTTTGGTACTGGGGATTGAACTCAGGTCCTTGCGCTTGTGAGGCAGGCAGCAGAACCACTGAGCTAAATCCCTGGCCCCTAATTTATTGAAATTTTATGTGTTTTTCATTGTTGTTGTTTTGGTTTGTTTTTTTGAGACAGAATCTTACTCTGTAGCTCAGGCTTGCCTTGGACTTGGGGCAGTTGTCCTGCTTTAGCCTCTTGAGTGCTGAGATTACAAGCATATGCCATGACCCCAGGCTCTGTTTTTTATATATTTTATTTTAAAATTTTAATTCTAATTATGGGCATACTTTTATAGGTTATATGTCTAAAAATATTTTGATAATTAACTTTATGGTTATTGGAAACATTGATATTAACAATACTCCTGATAAAAATGTGCATATTTTATTATTTATTTATATGTGTTTATTTTGTGGTACTAGGGATTGAACCCAGCCAGGGCTTTCGCACTGAGCTACCTCCCCAATTTCTATTACATTTTATTTTGAGGCAGAGTCTCACTAAGTTACCCAGGTGGCATTCAAACTTGGCGATCTTTCATGACTGAGTCTCCCAAAGTTCTTGGATTACAGGCCTGCCCTACTGTACCCAGCTTCAGATTTTATTTAAAATATGCTTACTCACACTATTACATATAATTTTCTAAAACAGATAACATTCTAACATTGTAAGAAGTTTTATTGTATGTAAGTAGCAGAGCAACACAAAGGACTAATCACATTTGACTATGCAGTATTATAGTGTGGTACGATATTCTTTTGTTAATTCATCCTGGTTTTACTCTGACCATCAGGATTAGATAATTAAGCTTTTTGGTGAGATTTTCATTAATCTCAATGAGAGGTCTCTTAGAGGCTTAGAACCATTAATTTGATTTTTTAGCAAATGAGCGTCTTGCTAGGCTTGTGGTTTTATGACTTATACAATACATGCTTTGTAAAAGACATGTTAAATTGCAAGTTAAGAAATAGAATCAGTTTGAATGTGCTAAGAAATCTCTTTCTTAAAAAGCTAATAGTACAAATGATTCTATCTTTGTTTCTTTTTTGATTTTTACATAATCTGTTTTCTTGAAGTTCAGGGTACTTTCACCTTGTAAACTGAATGTTAGTGATAATCCAAGTTATCCAAGATAACCCAAGATAACCTGTTATAACCTGATTTTACTAGTTGGTTTCCTATTTAATTAATGTTTTTGGTTGTGTGCTTTTGTACAACAATATAGATTTTGAATATCAATGAATGATGGGTTTAAAACAAAAGTAGAAAGGGCTGGGGATTTAGTTCAGTGGTTCTGCCACCTGCTTTGCAAGTGCAAGGTCTCGAATTTGATCCCTGGTACCAAAAAAAAATAAAAATAGACTGCTTCAGAGTAGATGTCTTTTATGAATTATTGCTTTTAATTTAAATTGTTTTCTTTTGAGACAAGATCTCTATATAGAATAGGCTGGCCTTAAATTTACTGTGTAACCCAGGCTAGCCTCAAACTCTTTGATTCTCCTCCCTCAGCCTTCCAAGTGCTGGGATTATAGGTCAGTGCCACCTCACCTGATTTACATTATTGCAATTAATTTGAACAAGGTGTCAGTGTGAAGGAAATAAGACTCCTAAAAGTTGAAAAATCAGTAGAAATGACTGATTTGTTAACTGTGTTTTTTCAAGGACTACAACTCCAGGAGAAACAAAACTTCTGGCCTCTGAAGTCTATGACATTCTTCAGTCTTCCAGTATGGCAGATGGTGATAGTTTTAATGAAATGAATTCACGTCGGAGGAAAGCTCAGTTTTTTCTAGGAACTACAAACAAACGTGCCAAAACAGTGGTTTTGCACATAGACGGTCTTGATGATACGGTAAGAATTGTATAGACATGTGGTTCATAAAAAATGGGAAAGAGAAATCATGTCAGCTAGACATATTCTTCATTGTCAGCTGCTTATTGTCTTTAAGAGTTATCTGTGTTTTACACCATTGAAGAATGTCATTTTGTGCTAAAGGGGTCAGTTAATTAGACCTAGCAATTTTATTGTATTTTATGTTTTTTTGAGACACGGTCACACTAAGGCCAGCTTGAACTCATTATGGAGCCTAGGCTGGCCTCAAACTCATAGTACTCTCGCTGCCTCAGCCTCTCGAGTGCTGGGATTACAGCCATTGTGGTCGGCTGTTGTAGCAATTTTAAATATTTATTTCACTAATTACAGAGCTTCAGCAGAAACTGACAGAAATCCAAGGAGAAACAGATTCACAGATTTAGAGATTTTATTACCACATTCTACATTAATAGAACAAGTATTCAGAAAATCAGGCTTTAGAAGACTTGAATAATGCTTCCAATTAACTTAAACCTAATTGATATTTATGGAACATCCTATCCAGCAACAGGATAATATTCATATGCACAAGAAAAATTTACCAAAATAGACCATATTGTTGGTCATATAACAAGTCTTAATAAATTTTAAAAGTTTGAAACCATACATACTGTCCTCTAAGCACAATGAAAGCAAATTAGAAATAGTAACAGAAATATACCTGGAAAATTCTTCCAAAATTTTTGAAACTAAACGTATTTCTATAATAATCCATGGATTAGTGAATAAATTAAGAGAAAGCACCCTAAATTGAATAAAAATGAAAGTATAATATCAAAATTTGTGGAAAGGCAAAAGTGTTTAGAATAGAACTATGTTAGCACCAGTGTCTGAATTTTATACACACAACTGAAAAGCTATCAAATTGATGACTTAGACTTCTTTCTTAAGAAGCTACTAAATGAAGAACAAATTAAAGTTGAAATAAACAGAAGATCAGAAACAAAAACAAATCAATGAAATGAAAAGCAAATTAATAAACTCAAAAGCATGTCCCTGATCAACGAAATAGGTAAAGCCCTAGCCAACTGATCAAGAATAAAAGACATTGCAGGGCCGGGGATTTAGCTCAGTGGTTCAGTGGCCTGCCTTGCAAGCGCAAGGACCCGAGTTCATTCCCCGGTACCAAAAAAAAAAAACAAAAAAAATTAAAGACATTACAAATTTTCATAATGAGAAATAAAAGAGGACATAACTGTAGATCCTGTAGACATTAAAAGGACAACAAATAACTAAATTTATGTTAATAAATTTGATAACACTTTTTTGAAAGGTATAGAGTAGAAAATCTCAAGAAATAAATTGATTAGCTATATATTTACTAAAGAAATTAAATTTGTAGTTAAAACTTTCTTAGAAAATTTCAGGCCCATATAGCTTCACTAGTAAATTGTACCATTTAAGGAAGGAGTAATACCAATTGTATAAAATCTTTTAGAATACTTTAGTGTTTCAGTGTTTGTTCTACATAACTTGTTCTTCCTTCTGAAGTCAATTTTAGTTTGTTTGCTTTTTGTATTAGTCTCACAAACTTCCTTTTGATTAGTGTGTGTCTTTTAATTGTGTCAGTAGTCTAATGTTTTATAGGCATATATTTGAATTTTGCTGCTTTATTCATTCTGAACATTTCTGCCTTTTAATTGAAATATTTGGACTACTTACATTTTATGTTTATGTATATGGTTGGATTTTTTTAAAAACCTTGTTAATTACTTTTCTATTTGTCCTGTTTCTTTTTTTTTCCTTTTCCTCTCTTCTTCCTTTTGGACTAATTAGATGGCTTTTATGGTTCGGTTTTATCTCCTTTATTGACTTATTAGGTGTAATTCTCATTCACTGATTTATATATATATCTTTGACCTGTCATGGTCTGTCATTAACTAATACTTTATCATACTGTATCATTTCATGTATAAGATAGCTTTTTTTTTTTTTTAGACAGCGTGTCCCCATGCAGTTTAGGCTGTCTTTGAACTCATGGCCCAGGCTGACCTTGAATTCATGGCGATCCTTCTGCTTCAGCCTTCTGAATGTTGGAATGCATGTGCTATCTTGCACAGCAAAAAATAATTTTAACAGTAAATCTTCACTTCTCTTCCTCTGGCTATTGTTATAAATTTTACTTCTGCATATGATATAAACCCCATTATCACTACTTTTACTTTTAAAAGCTGATCTCTTTTAAAAGCATTTAAAGAATAAGAAAAAGAGCTGGGCGTTATGGTGCACACCTTGTAATCCCAGCATTCTGGGAGGCTGAGGCTGGAGGATTGCAAGTTTGAGCCCAGCCTGGGCAATTTAGCAACTTAGTGAGACCCTGTCTCAGAGTAAAAAATAAAAATATTGGGGGATGTACCTCAGTTTGAAGGCCCTGGGTTTAGTCACCAGTACTGCCAAAAAAAAGAAAAAAAACAAGTTTTTCCTATCTACTCACATATTTACTATTTCTGGTGCTCTTTATTCCTTTGTGTTGATCAAGATTTTTGTGATGTCATTTCTTTCTGCCTGAAAATTTCCTTTAAAATTTTTTGTAGTGCCTACTTACTGGGGCTGTTTTGTTTTGTTTTTTTCCTATCACTAGGGGTTGAACGAGGACTGCTCACATGCTGTACAAGTGCTTTATCGTTGAGCTACATCCTGAGCTTTTTTTTTTTTTAATTGAGTTTATTGGTACATTTTAGGTATACAGTACAGTTACATTCATCATTGGGATCTTGTACCTTTACATGACAGGTCTTGGTTCTCATTTTTTCCCCATTCCCCTGCCTTCCCTTCACCCCCTCCTCCCCTCCCATTTACAAACACTTTATTTCCATTTTTTTAATTGTCTCATATTTTTTTCTTTTCCCTTATTCCCTTTTCCCTACCCTTCCCACTTTTTTGTTTTTGTTTTTTATTGAAATGTAATTCATGTACTATTCACTATTGTAAAATGTGCAATTCAGAAGTTTTTGTTATATTGATTGGGCTGTCAACTATAACCATTGCCCAATTCTAGAAAATTTCATCACTCCTAAATAAGACTTCGTACTTAGTAATTACTCCTCCTGGTATCAGGGCACCACTGATCTGTTTTTTTTTTTTTTTTTTTCTACATTGCTTTGTCTATTTCAGACATTTCTAATACAGCTGAAACCATACAGTATGTGACTTATGTGTCCTTCAGTTACCATAGTGTTTTAAGTTAATCAGTGTTGTTGCATGTATCAATACAACATTTCTTTTTCATAGTATTCCATTGTGTAGATGTACCATATTTTTATCTAATCACTAGGTGGGTATTTGAGTTTCCACATTTTCACTCAAATAATGCTTATGAGCATGCCTAAGTAATTCAGTTAACATTTATTTTCAGTTGTTGAATATATACCTAGGGAATAGAACTGTGTTATCTGGTGATTTTCTATTTAACTTTTTAATAAACTTCCTGGCTGCTTTTCACAGTGGCTGCAACATATTATGTTCCGCCCAACATTGTATAAGGGTATAGTTTCTCTTCAAACTCTTCTCTTATTTTCTAGTTTTTAAAAATTTTTGTCCTACTTAGCTGTGAAGTGGTACTTCATTGGAGTTTTTATTTGCAGTTTCCTAATAACTAATGGGGCCATCTTTTCAAATACTGTGTTTTAGTAGTTGATTTAGGTTTTATTTTGTACGTCTTTCACTTACTACAGATTTTGTCTTTGAAGGCAAAGCCCATTTACATTCTTTGCCCAATTTTTAAAATTTATTTATTTATTTTGAGTTTATTGGTACATTTTATGTATACAGTACAGTTACATTTATTATTGGGATCTTGTACCTTTACATGACAGGTCTTAGTTCTCATTTTTTCCCCTTATCCCTGCCCTCCCTTCACCTCCTCCTCCCCTCCCCATTAACAAACACTTTAATTTCCATTTTTTCATTTTCTCATATTATTTTCTTTGCCCAATTTTAAATGGCCTATTATTTTTTCTTTTAAGGGTTTTCTTATGTGATACCATACATTGATTAGTTTGATTAGTTTTCATGTGTTGAACCAACCTTTTGTTCCTGGAATAAATCATAGTTGTTCATGGTATATAATTGTTGTGGTATGCTGTTGAGTTTAGTTTGTTGGGATTACTTTTGAGAAATTTTGAATTTATATTCATGTTAGAGATTGATTGCTTTTCTTGTGATATCTTTTTCTGGTTTTGGTATTAAGGTAACTCTGACTTAATAAAATGCTGAAAAATATTTACATGAACTCATGAAGGGTTGGTGATATGAATCTTCTTAAAACATTGAGAGTTCACCAGTGAAGAAGCCATTTGTTTCTGAGTTTTCTTTGTGGGTAGTTCTTTTAAACTGTTGATTCAATTTCTTATAGGTCTTTATATATTTTCCTCCCAGTTTTTGTTCTTAATATCTTCCTAGGACTTTAGCCATTTAATTGAGATTGTCTAATATATTAGCATACAGTTGTTTTGAACATTTGCTTGTACAGGTTGAACATCTCTAAACTCAAAACCCAAAAGTCAAACTATCCCAGAATCTAATGTTTTTTGGGTTAGGGTCTCACTATGTAGTTCAACTGGCCTTGAACTTACTGTATAGCCCAGACTGGCCTAGAACTTGCAGTGATTCTCCTGCCTCTGCCTCCTGAGTGCTGGGATTACAGGTGTGTGACAACATGCCTGGCAGAAAATCTTTTTTAGCCCTGACTCTTTCAAAAAGTTTTGAAGTTTGGAACGTTATGGGTTTTTGAATTATAGATGTTCAACTGGTAAATTGTACGCAAATATTCCCAAATCCACAAAACACCAATATCTAAAACATTTCTGATCCCCAAACAGGGTAAAGAATACCTAACCTATAATCAATCATTCATTCACTTATTTTATTTCTGTAAGGTGGTTAGTAATGTTCACTCTTATTTCTGATTTTAGCAGTTTCAGTCTTTTTTCTGCTAGACAAAAAGCTAAAGGTTTTTTCATTTTGTTGAATTTTTTCAA